TGTGCCATTGCTTTGAACCTAGAAAGAAAGATAAGAGACAAGCTTTACGTGTCATACAACCTCAGTGATTCTGTCAAGATAATTACTTAATAATTTCAAAATGAGGTGGGAGCAGCATCCATTACCATATAGCCAGTCTGTATGATGAAAATGTACGTGATATAAGTATTTTGGTAATATACCACAAATAAATTGTATTTCTATTCCATGGCATGGAGAAAAATGATAAAGAGATAAACTGAATTAAAGCTATACCTGTGTGTTGGTGGTAATACTTCGTTTCATCACAAATAAAATACATGTAAAATACATGTGAATTTCACCCAAAGGGGGAAAACACCCTCAGCGCTTTGATCCACCTGTTGAGCCCAGCAAGTCAGTCCACTCTGCCCACCCGTCAGGGAGCAGCATTGCATGTGAGATCACAAGTGTGCCTTTCCCAGAACAAGTGACCATTTACACGACAGGCTTAGTTAGCAAAGCTCTCAACTCCGCTGCAAGGAACTCAACATACACTGACATATAAACAGACGCCTGAATGAAAGGCTGAGGATAATCCGAAAGCAAACCCACCCCAGGAAACCCTTGCCTACTGTTCCACTGTTTCTCCTCTTTTGGGGCAGGGTCTCCAAACCACGTAAGTATCTCTAATAGACTGATTCTGTTACCCGTGGCACACAGCCAGCACTTCCCTCAGGGACACTCCTAAACTGAACATTCCAGCATAAATCACTCTCCATTTTTACTTCCATGGACTCGTGACAAACTTTAATAAACAGGACACTTCTACCAAAGTTAATTAACTCTTCAAGCACCTTTAATCCCTCTTCAAACTGGTGCCACTGTTTCTGAGAAACTCAACTATACCATCAACTGATTTAAGAATTAATCAAAGGGGGAGGAAAAAATCAAACCCCCCCGCACAAGTCAGAGCGATTTGGCTGACAGACCGATAGTGCCAGGTTCCTCTCTAATTCAACACAGACAAAAATATTTCAATCTGAAAGCACAACCCTTCCCCCAGGACACCAATACAAAACCCCTCATTTATAAAGACCCCTGTTTTATAAGATGAAGAACCTGTTTGTTCTAGGATCAAGAGACCCTGAAGGGCTCAATAAGTGAGGAAATCTGTGACCTGATTATAAATGAAAAGAGAACCTTAAAAGAAACCAAACTCAAAATCTGGTTGAGATTAGATCAGACCTATTTCTAAATTCCAAAATCTTTCTCATTTTAAAATCCTCGCCCAAGGATATGTTTTAATGATTTTAGAGAGAGGAGAAGGACGGGGCGGGGCGGGGCATGGAGAGGGAAAAGGCGAGGGAGAGGGAGAAACATCAATTCGAGATCAGTTGCCTCCCATACACCCCAATCTGGGATCGAACCCGAAACCCAGACAAGGGCCCTGACCAGGAATCAAACCCACAAACTTTCAGTGCATGGGAAGATGCTCCAATCACACCAGCCAGGGCAAAATTCCAAAATCTTTCTTTTAAAAAATGTCTATTTTTTCTCTCTACCCTTAGGCCTTTCCTAGCCCAGCCCTGCACTCACCTTACTATACACATTCTCATGACTGTTTACTACACTAGATCTGAAGTTTTCCTTTCACAGCAGTAGCAAAAATGGAATTAAATTAAGCTCCTGATATGTTACTAATAAGAGAAAACCGTTAAAATAACGGATTCATATCCCATTGTTACGGTAATTATTCCAATGGCTAAAATTACAGGAAACATCAGCAGAGAGAATGAGTGTTTACTGATCCCTGATGAATAAGACAACCAAGTGCATTATTAGGTTTAAAGTCAACGTGCAATTTTTTTTTCCCCTGAAAAGATATTTTACAAAAGATGAGAAACCAAAAGCACAGACTTAAAGATCAAATGACCAATAACTCTGATTTACTTGGAATGCAACTTAACCTGGTAAGATAAAAATATCCAGCAAAAAAGCAGTGGTATGCTAGAAACGTTCATAGTTTATCTAAACGTGGAACTATTTCAGAAATAGGATCACTTAATATAACTGTCCTCGTACTGTACTCTTTAACAATGCGAGTTTCCATTTTTTCCCCAAAGGCCGGAATGACCTGAGTCGCTATGCATAAGTAACCTAAAACTTCACTTTAAAGACCGCTTTACGCACAGCGGGTAAACACTTGTGCTCCTCGAGTTGGCAGAGCTGGCCACTAGTTAACTGCCACAAAAGGAATTTCAAATGCATAAACTTGAAAATAAGAAATAAGCAAATTACACAGCACAGTGCAGCCCACTTAAACATCTAGCTGCTTCGTCTACCACGTTTATAAACACACTCTCTGTGAACCGTGAGGCAAAACGCACACTCACAGACTCTACTGCTGGATACGAAAGCTCCTTTAAAGCGATTTCCCAGTTCCACACTCAATAGTCACATCACACAAACTGGTAGGAGTTCAAAGATGTAACTACAGAATATAGTTTAAAACTGTTTTCCAGTGGATATTTCTAGAGAGAAGAACTAGGAAGGGTGGGGGAGAGAGAGAGAGAGAAAGAGAGAAAGAGAAAGAGAGAGAGAGAGAGAGAGAGAGAGAGAGACACAGAGAGAGAGAGACACAGAGAGAGAAGGGACAGAAACAAAGAGACAGGGTGGGATGTTCATTTTATTTACATTTGCCTTGTTTAAAACTACTTTATAACAAATGTTTAACCTCTGTCAAAAGATTTTAAAAATAAATATCTGACAGCCCCACTCTCCTAACCCAGCTGAAGTAAAATGAAGACCTAGCTAGGACTAAAATGTAGAACAGGCACTAATAATTCTTTCTCTTTCTTTTTTAATAGTCTTTTAATGTGTAAGGAAAAGTGCCCATAACTGCAGCTCACTATGTTCACACCCTGAACAAGGTCAAGAGAGAATATTACTGGCATGCAAAGGCCCTCCTCTTGCTTTTCCCAGTCATTGCTCCCTCAAAGCTGTTACTACCTGGACTTCACAGAACTGTTTCGCTACTAACAATTATTTTTCGACATTTCCCCAATTCTTTATTCTTAAAGCAAATTTTAGGAACTAATTTCTTTCCAGATTAAGAAAAGAGAAACAATTTCATTCAACAAATACTTACTGAGCACCTACTATGTGCCAGGTTTTAAAACTCAGATGATAAATTTTTCATTATATTATAAAAGTAATTCCATTGGACAACCGTTAAGAGAAATGTTACAATATTTAAAGAAATGTGATTTCCTAGCATATTTAAAGTATTTTATTGTAAGACTACATATAACAAAAACTATACGCAGTATTAGATGTAAGAAGTCATATGAAAATAATCTTGGCGTAGGGCGATTTTCTGACATGGTCCATCAGGACATTAGTATTTCAAAGAGTCAGAATCTTGGAGTGAAAAAAACCCTGAAAGAAGCCTTGCTCCCAAAGCAAGAATCCCTTCCAAGATCTTACTGACAGCACCTATGTTAGAAATGCTACAATAGTGCTGAGAGCACCTATGTTAGGAATGCTATGATAGTGCTGAGAGCACCTGTTAGAAATGCTATGATAGTGCTGACAGCACCTGTGTTAGGAATGCTATGTTAGAGAATGCTTCCTTTATGCTACTTCCTTTTAACTGCCCCTCCCCCAAATGACTGCGCTCTCTTCCACACGATCGTCTTTCACGTTGCTTGCTAGTCATCTTTTTTCTCCTGTCAGTTGTGAAACAATTCTGTGATCATCCTAGACATTCTACTATTCTCTCTGGACTTCATTCATTCAATAAATGAATACTAGACACTTCACCATTGTACGGATTGGGGAAACAGTATTGGAAAAAAGTCCCTTCCCCACAGGAGGTTAACATTTAGCGAGGGGACAAACTTAAAGCAAATAATTTCATGTATGTGCACACACACATACACCTATGATGAATTTCTATGAAATAGACATGAAGGGTGTGATTAGAAATTAAGTGGGAGGATTTATCTGAGGAAGACATACTTAAGCCCACAACAGAGAAGCGCACTTAGATAAAGCCTTTGGGAGGGGAGCACACAGGGAGCAGGAACTGGGCTGTGCAAGGTCCTGAGGCAAGGAAGGTCTTGCTGCACACAAGGAAGCTGAAGGAAGGCCTGGGTGGGACAGAGGACACAGTGAGACAGCAAGAGGTGCCTGAGACATGGCTGCAGGTGCAGGCAGGGCCAGCTGATCCTGTGGTGCCTTCAGACCAGATGCAAAGTTCTGAGTTGTATTATAAATGCAGGAGAAAGGCAGTTTCAACACCCTTCACCATATATATATATATTATTGATTTCAGAGAGGAGGGGAGAGGGAGAGAGATAGAAACATCAATGATGAGAGATAATCATTGATTGGCTGTCTCCTGAACGCCCCCTACTGGGGATCGAGCCTGCAACCTGGACGTGCGCCCTTGGCCAAAATCGAACCTGGGACCTTTCAGTCCGCAGGTCTACGCTCTATCCACTGAGCCACACCAGTTAGGGCACCCTTCACCATCTTGGCTATTTGTTGTTGTTTTTTCTCTCTACATATATTCCAATTTTTCAGCATCTCTAAAAGTGGGTAACATGCTCAAGATGTGATCTTTCTAGTGCAAACATCAATGGAGCTGTTGACTGAGACATCATTTTTTTAAAATATAGCTAGAAGTTGCAGTTTTTTATACACTGGTTACTATTCATTTAAATAAAACAGGAAACAAAAATTATTTTCAGATGAACTACTGATAAATCAGACCTCCCCCATACTTTTGTAACTGACAATTTTTACAACCAAAATGTAAGCTACTATATATATTAAGTTAAAAAAATTATCCTTCTCTGAGAAAAATTCAGAGTAATAGCACATATACCATTTCAATTTTTTACACTCTCTTAACCTGGGATTATGTTTTTTATAATATTCCTTCCAAAACTCTTTACTGGGACCCCCGCTTGCCAATGGATCTTACCTTCTACGATGTCCCTCTTGTAATCGCTGTCATTGTCACTGTCAGTTGGCCGGTAATAGATATAAAATCCTTGAATGGGAGTGTTATTGTTAATTGACGGGATATACTAAAAAACAGAAGCAGAAAACTTGTCAAAAACAAAAATAAATTTAACTCCCAAATCCATTAAGATTTATTTATCTGCATAACAGTATTTCTCTGGATTCATTTTGCAAACATCCTTGACGACCATTTTAAATTTAATTCAAAGGTATTCAAAGGTATGAAGAGCGCTTAGCTTACTGCAGGGCTAACCAAAATTAAAGCAATATATTTCACAAGGTTCAAAGGCATAAAAGTACATTTGGTTCAAAATGAATAAATCATGAAATGGCAATTAAGTCAACACTTGGATTAGAGCTGAGGCAACAATAATTTTATTTTTAACCCTACCCCATTTATAATATGTGCTTTTAGACAAATATCTGTGCCCTTCAATTTCCTCACTTAAAAACTCAGAAATCTGCCGAAACCGGTTTGGCTCAGTGGATAGAGCTTTGGCCTACGGACTGAAAGGTCCCAGGTTCGATTCCGGTCAAGGGCATGTACCTGGGTTGCAGGCACATCCCCAGTAGGATGTGCAGGAGGCAATTGATCGATGTTTCTCTCTCATCGATGTTTCTAACTCTCTATCTCTCTCCCTTCCTCTCTGCAAAAAATCAATAAAATTAAAAAAAAAACAAAACTCAGAAATCTGCCCGGCTGGCATGGCTTAGTGGTTGAGCATTGACCTATGAAAAGGTTCGATTCCCGGTTAGGGCACAGGAACTGGGATGCGCCATGGTCCTGAGGCAAGGAAGGTCTTGGGTTGCAGGCTCGATCCCAGTGTCGGGTGTGCAGGAGGCAGCCAATCAATGATTCTCTCTCACCATTGATGTTTCTATCTCTCTCTCCCTCTCCCTTCCTCTCTGAAATCAATAAAAACATATTTTTAAAAAAAGTTCAAACATTTGCTGTTCACTGTACCCCGTCATGAGGACATTAAACTATTAACATGGCCAAACCAGACAACCTCCTCATTAGAGAAGACGTGTTACTTACCGTCCACTTTAGCATGATCTGCGTATCACTGACGGCTTCTGTGTACACAATGTGAGGCCCGGCTACTGGACGGTTAGAATAACGATTGGGGAACCCAGCCACCTGATAAGGACGAGACGCTGAACTCCGAAAACTCTCACCGTGATGGTTGATAGCAATGACCCTAAATTTGTATGTTGAACCTTTTGAGGAGAGAAAAAAAAAACCCAGAATTTTTAAAAAGCTGTAATACGACAACTGAAGGTACAATACCCAAACTATGACAACTGTGCTATAACAACAGCATACTCTGAAGCCTGTGTGGTAAATAGATTCCTACCCACGTGACAATTTCTAGCAACTGGTAGTAGCTGCTCAGTGCAGTGTGTTCACAATCCCAAGATGTAAACACCCCAAGAGAGGAATGATCTGACCCCGAAGGGGGCGGACAGAGAACAGGGAAGAGCACATGTGCTCCTTGCACCATCCAGTTCCAAAGTCACACCCATCACAGACAGTATTAGTGTGTGTGTGTGTGTGTGTGTGTGTGTGGTAGGAGTCTGTGCTCAAGACCCGGTTCTTCTCCCTTGGAAAGAACAACTGGAGAGTTAGTGTGGTGAATGCATTTATGAAGAGGCGCTGTGGGGCTATGTCACTCTGATTCCACCTGTAACGGGGGAAGAGGGAGCAGATTTAGACTACAACAGAAGATACTCATTTGTATTCGATTTAAGACTTAAAAAACAACAACACGAAGGGTGTGAGTTTCTGAAAATCTGGAATCTAGAGAATAAATTAGACCCCTAAAGCAAGGTTCCTACTAGCTCACAAGTGCCCAGGGGGCTTCCGCAGACAGTGTTTTCCATGTGAAAAATGTCCCGGAGCCTTACACACATTTACAGCTGCCGCCTTCTCGGTGGGCTTCCAGTCAAATGGCGGAGTGGGTAAGTGTGGTCCTGGTATCCTCCCACGATCACATCGAAATGACAGAAAGACAATCCCTGAGAGCCGACTGAAATCTAGCTGAACACAATGAAGGATGCGCCGAAGCCACACTGAGACCGATAGGAGGGGCAGACACAGAATGGGTGTGGCAGTTAAAAATCAGGATTGCTATCTCAGCTGCTGAGGTCCCCCGAAGAGGGAGGGGTCCCCTCCCAGGCCCCCAGCCCAGGTTTCCAGTGCAGGGAAGAGAAGTCCCCAGAGCTCTTGGCTGTAAAAACCCGCAGGAATGGTGAATGGTGGCGGACTGACACAAAGGGCTGCTGTAGTCCCAGGAGTTCCTCTTAAAGGGCCGGTGCACAGATTACTCGGACTCACTCACTCTTAGCTCCAGCATGAAAGGAACCAGGGACGTAGGAGGAGGAGCTCAACTGTCTGGCTCTGGGGAGAAGGCTAGAGGGGCAGCTTTCTTTCAAACGGAAGTGCTGGCAGAAGCCACTTTCCTTTGCTGAGCTCTCCCCTTGCAGGCACAGGCACCATTTCTGAGTCTCCATCAACCCGGCTACCATGGTGATCCCTCAAGGCCTCGCCCAACCAACTTGAAGGCCCTCCCAAGCCGCTTTCGGTGACTTTTCCATCCAAAGGCCTATCTTAGCTCATGCAGTGAACTTTCCGAAAATCCCTCAAAGGTTCACAAACCCAAACAAATAGCATCTGGCCTTGGTGCGCCCTATACCTCTTGCTAAGTGGCCCCAGGCCTGGTGCTGGAGGTAGCTGGACTCAGTACACAGCTTGACCTGGGCACCTCTAAGCCCATCACCCTGCAGCTCATACCAGGTGGCCCAGGCAGGGCACAGGAAGTGGCTAACCTTGGCCTGCACCTCTCAGGAAGCCTCAGAGGCGACACACCTGATGGCCAGCTGCAGACCAGGCTGGAGCACCACGCCACCACGTCCACGAGCGATACACTCAGAGGGCTCACTCGGCGCTCGCTGGAGCCCCTCTGAAGTCAGCTCTGTCCCACGGGGAAAGGCCCCTGCACAGCAGCTTTCACTGCAGTCGTAGCCTCATCTTTATTTTCACATTTTCATGCAATAAGCTTGCAATACTCTAATTAAAACTATATGGGTAATGAAACTATGCACCTATGGTTGGTCAGCATGGATGGTATAAGAAGGAAATGTTGGAATATTAATACCTGGCTCTAAACTACGAACTTCCACCGAGAGTCTGGAAGGAGGGATATCTTCAGCTGCCACCAGCCAATCACTACTCCTCATCCGTTTATATTCGACCTTGAAGGCAGTGATTGGAGAACCCCCATTGGCCCGAGGAATCCAAGTGACGTAGACGGACGTCTCTGATGCAGTGGAGATGGTGGGCCGATCGGGGGCCTCTGGAACTGAAAAAGGAAACATTCGCTTCAGTATCCTGCAGTGTCAGAGACAAGAATAACTCAAACCAACTAAAAGGGGTAACTGCCAAATAGTGAATGAAAGGTTCTTCCAACTTTGCCAGAGTTAATAATATATCTTCCTGTTAAAAGGCAATGAAATAGCCAAATACAGGAAATAAAAGAAGGAAGTAAAATTAACCTACTAACCTGACAACTGTCTCTGAAAAACTGAACGTTAGTGTGATCATTGTGACCAGGCTCATTTGGATTCATGGCTAAAACAGTGTATGAGCAATTTTATCATTGGCCGCTTCCAGTCTGATTGTGCTTATAATTTACTAGAAGCCCGTTGCACGAAGATTCGTGCAATAGGCCTTCCCTTCCCCTGGCTGCCGGCACCGGTTTTCCTCCAGCACCTGGGACCCAGGCCTTTGCTGCTCTGGCTAGAGCCTTCAGTTCTTCACTCAGCTGCCTCACGCCTATGTATGCAAATTAACTGCCATCTTTGTTGGGTTAATTTGCATACTCTCCTAATTGGCTGGTAAGCATAGCGGAGGGAGGGTCAATTTACATGCTTGTCTATTATTAGGTAAGATAGTAAATTTACAGTAAAATTATGTGTTATTGAATTTAGGTGTTTTCTTTATCCATCCAAGCTACATAAGACACATTCAGCTGAAACCATGTACCTAACTCTTCTTGCTGACCAAGCCATTGTGTAACCCTAACTGGCTCCCCACTTCGCTCCTACAAGGAAAGAATGCTGCTAGAAACAGCCTGGTACATCACCAATTAGCCCACTGCCATTCCACTGTGAGTTCTGGACAGTGAGCTAGTTCTGAGCGGAACAAGGAGGACCCACTCCGGCCAGGGAGACATTGCTCAGGTGAAGTCACCACGGGAGTCCGCCTCTGTCTAGTGGCACACCGCTCAAGCAACGCCCTCTGTCTCAACACCCCTCAACCCAGACACAAGTACATGAGGGCAAAACACTGTAGCATATGGTACTTGTATGGAGAAAGCGTGGGATTTTATAAAACAAATTGATTCATGGGTAAAAAGGAATCTACTCAAAGCAGGCAACTTTGAGGGATACTTACTGTATTCCTTTCAAGTAAGAAAGCAATGGAAACAGAATGAACAGAACTGTTAGCAAATCTCTTTAAATACTACATAATCAAACAACTTCCTTCTGTCGATTCATTTGGGGTTAAAACTCATCATACTACAGGTATTTATAGAGTTATTAAAAGTTCATCAAAGAACACCACAGTTTGAATAGAAAAGAAAGCTATTAGGGGAAAAAAATCTCCACAGAGAAGAATATCTTGCCGAAACCGGTTTGGCTCAGTGGATAGAGCGTCGGCCTGTGGACTGAAAGATCCCAGGTTCGATTCCGGTCAAGGGCATGTACCTGGGTTGCAGGCACATCCCCAGTGGGGAGTGTGCAGGAGGCAGCTGG